AAAAGATCTTTAGCACAAGACGAGTTGTTGTTCGACTGAAAGTAAAAAGTGTTAGTCAAAAAGCGGAACTATAGCGACCCATTTCTTTCCAAAAATTATATTTTATGCATGGGAGGGGAAACAGTTGCAGATGCAGAATTTCTCAGAATAGCCCCATGAATTCCAGATTGAGCTACGAAATGTCGTCGGCATATGCGAGCATAAATTCAAGCTGAATATGGATGCTCAGCCGGAAATTATTCGTCCAGATCGATACACGTCAACGCTTATTTACGACGAAGGAGACACCGTGAAGCTTCGCCTCTCTTTCACAGGTCAGTCAGAGGTACAGGGGTAAAACTCAGCGCTCTTCTTTGAAAGGCGCTTACCACGAAGCCCTACAGTGGTACATTAGGAAGTAAGAAAGATCTCGTTCTATGTAGGACTTAGCCAGACGTTTTGCCTCCGAGTAGGGTCTAGCATTATTGGGATAATCACATGGGAAGTTTTATTTGGTCGGTGGTCGAGGGGAGAGGATCTTCAAACTTGAGAGACCTTCTCCGAGCCGCGAGAAAAAGTTTCCAATCCCATTCAATTCGCGTTGTAAACCCGCCCCCGTAAGCAGCTTGACACCAGTTAATCGTGAAAAATTGGAGGACAGAAGGGGAGGGTCATACTGGAGAGGTTTGGAGGAGGAGGAGGTGGTGGTTCTAACAGCTGAGGCCGTCGTACATTGGATTTCCCCAGCGGGGGAGGGGTCGTATCTGATCGCTGGAAGGCCGAGTAGCACGTAGGCGTATTTGCCTGTGAGGGGAATGTTTCAGTCGTTGACTTTTCTCGGTTTTTTTCCTTTCACGTGCATTATGACCCGCCTCTCCCCTGCTCACGGCAGAGATTCAAGGGAAAACTGGGGACTGTTTGTGAATGGAAGGGATGAGGAAGTGGGGCTCTGCCAGAGGAGGAACCTCAAGAGGAGCGGAAGTGGATTGCAAAAACTGTCCCTAATGGCAGGACGTGCCGTGACTGACAGAGTTATTCAGGCCCAGTGTAAAGCATTATTCACCCGTCGCTTTAAAGGCAGCGCCCGCGTTCATTTGTTGTTCTCACGCCCTCTCTGGACCTAGTAGCTCCTCCCTATGAGGATGGTGGACGTGCATGTTCGCAACCCAAAAATGCGACGGAACAGCGCGGCATCCGCCCGCAAAGAGCCGACGGCTCCGCCCACCTGCCGACCACGCCACCCAACTTCATTTCTAATGGTTGCCTGATGGTGCGGTTGTTCCATTGCTGCTTCTCTCCACGTGGAGTGGTGAGAGTGAGGTGATAAGGGAAAACAGCTGATATGAACAAGTGGAAACTCGTGCAATCACTCCTTCTCTTCGCCTTAAGCACGTACAACCGTTGTTCGGTATGAAACTCCTTCTAGGGCATTTTGCGTGTTTTCTCTTCGATTTTTCTTCACTAATAGGCTTCTTGCTACCTGAGCCGCATACTCATTAAATTTGAACGCGGGCGCTGCCTTTAAGGCTGCAGAGACGCAGAGTAATCTCTAGGGAGGAAGTCAAAGTGAGAGACGCAGACGCGGAGAGGGTCAACGTGCCGAAACCCTGCTACGTTGAATAGATTGGGTCCTAGCGCGAATGCAGTGTACGTTATCAAGCTTGCAACGCTCGGTCTACCCCACTCGCACGACTGGGAAGAAACACTAATTTAGCTCATCTTGAAGTTCTATCCTGCCCACGACCCATTCTAATCCAGACAAGTTTCAAGGCGTTGCCGCCGCAACTCTTGAAGCTCTTAAGGGAGAATGCTGTGCTTTGGAGCTTTGCAGTCATAAATCAATTTATTCAACAGCATTCAAAAACGAACTCACATGATCAAAACGAAAAAAATAGATCACAAGGTAAATTTATATGAGCTAGCTGTGGCTATTTATATCGATTGTCAAAGAAAAACGAAATTTTTCCCGATTTGGAGAACATGAAGGGGACTGCTCATTCCCTCAAACCCTATCTGATATGTTCATTCAATAGAACCTGGTCCGTAATTTTTCGTGGAATACCCACCAAATCTCTTGTTTTTAAATAAACGATCCATTTCTAAATCAACTAACTAGAATCCTATAATTAGTGAGGGAGCAGAAGTGAACGAATTTCTGAACTCTATCGAACTTTGAATTCAGTAAGAGAATGTGCACCTATAGAACTGGCGATACTCGTAATTCACAAAGGATTGTGATGATCCTCTTCGATTCAAACAAGGGAATTCAAATGAAAAATTAGGTGCTGATAACCTTTGAGGGGCACATCTATAAGCTCTCCGGCAACGTCAGCATGTAAACCTTGCTTGTCAAGGCATGATCACTGTACGCAACATGTGAATACCGAACAGTTTGCCCTGCAAGTCCTGTGAGTTCCTGTCAAGTACCATGTAAACTACTGTGCTTATTTTGACAAATTTGACAGGAGTTTACAGGACGCTTGACAGGTAATCAAGGCTCACAGAGTGTTGACAGGGTTGTCCGGTATTTACAGGTATGAAGTTGGGTGGGTTGGCATGCTGACAAGCGCTTACAGCTTTACAAGTGTGCCCCCCCCCCAAGGTTGTTAGCGCCGAAAATTGCATAATCATAACAGCGGCTAGCGGCCGCATGAGCAGGTAACGGGGCCCGAGGCTCACTCAGTCTTCATCACCATGTAACATGGATTGAAGAACGAGTTCTTGATGGCTGCTGTCGAGCTTCGTTTGTTCAGCTTGCTGCTCGTCTTGCGCGACTTTGATGAAGTTATCCACAATGATGGTGATCGGCAATGCCAGCACTAACACTCCACACATGATTGCCGCCGACGCGATGATTTTTCCCACTGAAACGTCTTCCGTTTAGGCTCAGGCGGCATTTTCTTAACTCTTTTTAATACAGAACCGGGCGCTGTTTGGCTTGGAGGAGGCGTTTTGCACGGGTTTGTGGCAAGACAATCTTAATGTAACGCGCTGGGTGCGTGGGGATCGATGCACGTCCGACAGACAGTGCTTTTCCATTCCAATTTTAGTGATGAAGGGACAAGAAAATTCTATATCGCAGTCCGTAGAATTATGCCCGATGAGCTCGACTCCAATCGATAGACTTCTGCAGATAGAGAATCCGCCCCTGCGGTACGTCGCGCGCGGTGAGGCGAAAAATTACGATTGTCATGTCCGTCTCCCAATTTGCATTTTTTCTGATCCCTCTCGATATTTCCTTTTAACTAACGAATGTCACTTTTTGAGACCTGTAAACCAGCGGATTGGCACTAGTGAGCCACTATGGAGACAGGAAATTACAGGTCTTCACAGGTTGGCCAGTATAAGTTGAGCAGAGTACCATTCAGTGCCCCACCAAGCCGAACTGCGCCTAATGAAGAATAAACTCACTAGTTGTGGCCGGAACAGCATCACCATAACCAACGGTTGTCATCGTCACTATACACCACCAGTACGCTGCCGGTATACTGGTAAACGGAGTACCGTCCTCGTCTTTCTCCAAGAAATAGATCATCGTTGAGAAGAAGACGACGCCGGTCAACAGAACGATCGTCATCATTTGCAGTTGCTTTTGGGACCGTTGTAATGTCATCCCGAACGTTTGCAAACCGGACGAAAAACGGCCAAGTTTGATAATTCGGATCACTCGCAGTACTCTCAGAATTCGCACCACGAGGAATGCCCATCGTAAATCTCGCAATTTCTTGTCGTCAACTCCACATAACGTAAGCAACAGCTCGAGGTAGAAGGGTACGATCGCAAGAAGATCGACGAGGTTCAGCGGTTTGAGGGCAAAACGCAATTTCCGTGGTGCCGCGAATAATCGCAAACAGTACTCGACGGTGAAGAAAGCTATACAGATCCGTTCAGTGAATACAAATGCAGGATGTTCTACTCGCATCTCTTCCACTTTCTCCACCACAGTGACCGTCCCGTTTGGCAGAACAATCGTCTCGTTATGTGGGGGCATGTAGTGCGTCACCTGCAATATCCATGAGTTAAAAATGGCACGATTTTTGATTAGATGAAGGCGCAGTTCGGTAACGGGGGGCATCCTGCACTTTTGCTGCTTCCCATCGACGTTTCGAGCCATCTAGCGAGAGCTCACGAGTATTGACAGGTTTTATCATGGTAGCTCGACGAGCTTGCTCCAGCTTCACAGGTTTCACCGGAGTGAGACTTGTAAACCGGAACTAGTGAAGCAGCTACAGCGAAAAGTACCCCCTCCCCCCTCTCCCCCCCACCCGTCGGCGAACAGCGCCGCATATGAAAATTCCGAACCTGAAAGTCGGGAATGGTGCCAAAACTGAGACCCATTACAGAAATGGCAACAAATAGGGTAGAAGAGAGTTCAAAGGCTTTTGCTTGCATAGATGAGCCAGGACGCTCAAGGAACGTCCACATCCGTCGTCGCACTTTCCCAAACATCAAATTATCGAATGTCGTGTCGTCGACCTGTAAAAAAAGAGAAAATTAAACGAGATGTGATATTTTCCTTCGACTTAACCGAACCTTTTCCTCTTCTTTTTCCTCTTCTCGTTTTTGTGGTACGACGTCGGCACAACAAGAGCCCACGTGTTGATGGGAGATACGCCAAAAGTCAAGCTCTGAGAGGAACGATGCCGGACACACCTGACAAAGAGAGGTGTCATTTGTCAGTTGAAATGGCAAAATATCCTTGACGCCTGGCTGGCTCTCCTGCCTCAATACACCATTGAGACTGCGGCGGATTGTATCGGATTACCTCTAAGCATTCTCAACATTCCGTCACATACCTAATTGGGCGCTATTTACCCCTCATCGGCTCATTCTGGGAACAAAGAGGACGATTTGGCTGGAAATAGTATGTCCTAAGAGCAGTTTGACAACTTATGTGAGTGTTGCACTCGTTTTGCGCGAAAATATCCGGGGGTCTATCATAGGTGCACGCGCTGAAATCAAGGCGCGTCTTACGTTGGGAATTCCCAACAGAAGGCCCTATTCGGTTGGTGGCCGGGGGTCGTATTTAGTCCGGGAAAACGTTTTTTTTTGTCAACTTATTTTTCCTGTTTCACGGGCACCATTCACATCAGTCCCTTTTCACTCCTACGGCAAAATTTTTAGGGAAAATTGGGAATTTTCGGGAAATCCAGGAAAATGTGCTGGGGAAAAGTTAGAGGGGAGGGATGCGTTTTCCAGAAACTTCCCTGCTGCAGGACGTGCTCCAGCTAGAATACCTTGAACGCAGTTCAACTTCTCTGCGAGCTTATCCCCATGGGCAGTTTGCCCCCCCCCCTACCTCCCTCCTTGAGCACGAAGGTTGCTAGTTGCAAGAAATGATATCATAGACTTTTGAAGCATTGAAGTTTCTTGGAGAAGCTTTGACAAATCCCACTTTTGTTCAGCCTTGTCCTGTGCCATCAAGCGAATCTGATTTCCTGGCGAAAAGGTCGTGCTGAACAGATTCCTAGCCAAATCAAGTAAAAGGAACCGATTCAAAAAAAATTCTCCCGCAGCTGCGAAAAAGGGACACAAAAAGACAGATAACTTCCGAATTATGCCCAATTTGTAGTTAAGAAGCTCACCTCCGACGGTCGATGAACGACTCCGGTTGCGTAATACTGAAATATCGCCTCAAAAGCGATTGGCGAGCGTTGAAAAAAATACGCATCCTCGGCAGCGACGTATGCGTCAGCCACCTGAAGTCAATAGTATTTGCTTAATTTGACTTATGTCAGGAAGGAAAAACGAAATTAAGTCCTGGACATGCCTTTAATCGAGCCGGATGTGTGAGCTGTACAAATTTAGAGAGGAAACCCGATGGCTCCGCTCGAAGAAGTGCATCCACAAGTAGCATGTATCGTGTCCCACCAATATTCAGTCGCAGAAACATTGGCTCCCCATCGGGACCGATTGCTCCTGGTGGGATTATCTGAACAGAATCCATTTTAGCTCGCTGCCAGCTCTGCCACCACCGCTTTGGAATCCAGGGCGCTGTTCGGCTCGGGAGGGGCAATTAGCGCTTGTACTGGTTTCTTTTGCTATTTCATATCAACCATCGGGTGTCATTTTCGGGTCCCTTTTATACTTTCTAGTCGAGCGATGGGGGCGAGGAGGGGAGAGGATTTGGGTGTGGGATAGCATCGGGAGGGGTTACCTTGCGAAGACCACAACGTTCTGCTCACTTCCCATTTATAGTATTTTTACCTACAGAACAAGCGTCGAACAAGGGGGGGGGGGCGGTGGGAGGGTAAAAAAAAATCCTTTCAGAAAAAAAATAAAACGAGTCCCTTCCTTCGTGAGAGCTGGTAAACTTCTCGCCAGAATCCGGGGGCGCAAAAATGCACAAATTGGGCACTATTTACTTAAGGATCTACGAGGTCTTGACAAGATCGCTTGTTAAGGCTTCGCCGACTACATATCGGGTGCCCCCACACGCCACCGACCACAGCTGCGGAATTTTGCAGTTGAGGCTAGCAGAATTTGGAGCTTGTCCAGAAACGAAATTTGTTGAATTTGAGCGTGGTGATGTTTTGGTTAGTGAGGCTTAGTTCCTCCATCAATAACTCGTGCTACCTCACCTGAAAACATTCGCTGCCTCCAGAACGCCAAACGTCGTCGAGAATCAAAAAATTCCGTCGTTCAGCATGACTCATCGCATCCGTTTTTCGTAATGGAACAAGGCGTTTCTTGTGTTGCTGTGCCGCCCTAAAAGGCATCAGTTTGGCACAATGCGCTATTATCAGCTCGGTTTCTGGTGTTAGTTGCTCACAATGAAGTGCACTTCTATTAGAAGGGGTATTTCGACGACGGAGGGGGGGGGGGCATTTTGTACTTTTGCTACTTAACATCGGCGGGCCATCTAGTGAGCTATTTTATGAGCTTGCAACAGTTTACAGGTTTTACCATGGTGGCTCGGCTCGAAGAGCTTGCCTCAGGTTCACAAGAATTCACAGGTTTCACCAGAGTGAGACCTGTGAACCGGAACCAGAGAAGTAGCGAAGCAAACCCCCCCCTCCCCCGATCGTCGAATTGCGCTCATTGGAAACCAATTTTCATAATGCTGAAAATGCCCGTGCACTTCATTAGTGAATGGCCTGAGGGATATCATGCAACACAGCACAGCACAGGATAATCACAGGAAAATTGGCATGCACGATTAATGAGGAACGCCTTTTGGGAACATCACAAAGTACACAAACAACGGCAAAAGGCACTCATCCAAAAATAAGAAAACTAAATAATCGACCCACCCGCTGATCATGTTGCCGGTTACCCTGTAATTCTTGAATTTGAGTGCAGTATCCGTGCCTGGGACCCCGAATGGTATTGAGGCTCGATGTTGTAGGACTGCTTGTGAAATGGCTATAGCCATGGTCAACAGCAGCAGCAGTCAGAAGTACGGGATGGATGGAATTTGCCTGTCGTCGACTCCTTGTCAATGCGGTCAATTTTGCAGGGGGAGAAAAAGGGAAGTATGTACTTGTGGCCAAGGAGGCGGTGCCCCTAATGCTCCCGTACAGCGCCCGCCTCACCTGGTGTGCCTTTGGCTTTTAGCTACCTGATATTGCACGCGGATGTTCGCTTTACGTTCTCATATCGCATATGCACGCGCGTTCTGATTTGGTATTCTGCCGTGGCTTTTTCTAATCCTTCATATCTCCTCAGAGAAAGCTCTCACCCTTTTGAATGAAAGAAATCATAGAACACAATCAACAACAGAGGACAAACACTTCACTAAGATCTTAAGAATAACACAGGTGCTTGCAAAACCATTTATATGGCCCTATGTAGTACTTACTGTCCATTGGAAGCGAGTGCCGAATAGCTAATGCTGGCACAGGCCATGGTGAAGATCGTCGAGGTGGCACTACCGTGTGAGAAGTGACGATGGGGGGATGTGTGAGTTCGCTTAGAAACAGTCTCCCACGGACGGGAGAGCGACAATTGATCGATGTGGTGAGCTCGAGCACCTCCTCAGGTGGAAACAGCTCTCGCCGATTAATCTGCTTAGATTAGTCGGCTGTGAAAGCTTTGAGAAGCTAGCCACACCCCATTCCGGCATCGGTGTCTCATGTCGCGACATGCCTCAGTGAATTTTTTCACGGGTGGTTCAATTGTCCGCGAAGAATCACAGTGGTTTGCGCTTCCGCTTGCAGAAACCAACTAATTCTGACTTTTCCTAGGAAATTCTCTAAACTGAACGGATGGACGTTTCGCTTAACAATAGCCTAACAAAGGTTTTTCCCGACAGTGAAGCAATTTGACGGCTACTGTTACCAAGAAAGTCGATACCGCCCCCATTCTGGAGCCATTTCCTCACCGCATTAATCCGTTTCTGAACTAATTTTCAAGAAAAAGTGGTCGTATGGCAACGCCACGGCCAATAGGTCATAAATCAATACCAATTTCAAAGTAGCTGGCGATAAATAGATAAGAATATAGAATTATGCCCTGAGGTGGCATGAAGTCGATATCGAGAAAGACTCACTTCCGAGGGTAAAATCACTGAGGAAAGCCCTTTAGCGACAGTAGCAGTGCTAACAGGACGAGGTGCTAAGAGTGATGAGCTAAGCTGTGGCTTGTACCGGGGAAGAGGTGGAAGTGGCCTTCAAGTGGTAGGCACAGTGTAGACACAGATCGCGCGAGATGGGATCGGCGAAAGCACGAGGGGAAAGTGAGAGCGCCCTGACAAGAGCTGTCTGTGTATATGTGAAGAGCACCATGTCCCCTCGTGTAGTTATTTGATCTGACAATTTCTTCAACTCTTAACCCGGACTGTTTCGTTTTCAATCGAACGCCGACATTTGTTCGAGGAAAGCCCCTCCCTCCCTCTTAGCAACTCTACCTTGTAGGTACGCCAAAGGTAATAGTAGCTCAGATAGACTTTGCAGCTGCATTTGAGGGGTTTTCCTGGAAGGTCGTGGAGCTGCTGCGCTCTGTTTTACTTCCTCACGTATAGCGGGGACAACAGCTGACTGCCCTTACTGCTTTAATATGCTCTATTTGTGGGATGAGAAATCGATTTCGCACTGGCTGTAATTTTATTACATTGTAAAAAAAACGTTAACGAATAATATGGTCGGGCTTCAATCAATCCTCTTGAGGTGCCGCACGCACCAGAATCCGGAAGCGGGGGTTCAAAGGCCTGGAATAGGCCCACTCGCAGCGTTTTTCATCTCTGGTTGGGCGTTTTCTACCTCAACTGATCGTTATTGGTAGGAAAAGCAGCCAGGCTCCATTCACGCCTCCTGAACCGCCGCACCGCTGGACTATGGCGATGGCAACTATACGCGAAATTGTATGGGCATTTAACTGTTTGTATGGCCTGGGCAATTGATTCGAGGCAGTTTTTATCCTCCCAGGCTGTTCCCTTATCGATCAGCTGGTCTCTGAAGTGGAATAATTCAATTAGAAAAGAATATCCAGTGAATTTTGAGTGGAAGAAAGGAATTAGTCCGACTGGCGCTACCCTTGTGCCCTTAGACGGAAGCTGTACTACGACGAGGGGCTGAGTTCAGGGCACGTCGTACTTTGGGGATCTCGAACGAGAGGGGGGTACGTATTCGGTAGATGAAGAAAAGGGGATCGTGTTGGCTTACGAGAAAAATGTTTTTGAGCTCACTGCCGCTCCTTCTCCTCTCCTATCATCCCTTCCGATGGGCGCTAGTTTTTAGGGGAAATGGTGGAAAAAAGGGAGGTTGGGAGAGTTCAGGAGGGCGGAAGGTAGGGCGGAGAAGGTGGAGTGGGGAAGGGGCTGGTACCACGACAGGAAATTCTAAATAAGAGTCGTATTTTGCAAAATTTTCTTCAACGACAGGACGCGCTCTGGCCGAGTTGCGGGGTAAATACGCTTGACCCAGCCAGGACTCAAGTCTGGATCACTGACCCGCAAGGGGCCAACTCCTGCATTTTCAGCTTAATGATACTTCATGCAAGCTTAACTGATGAAAGTGTCCAGGGTTTACACCCCTGAGCACCCGGAAATTACAGGTGTTCGCAGTCTCGATATGAAAAAGATAGTTATTAGTGGGTAATGAGGATCTCGCTAGACGCCCCTCCCAAGATACTAGTTCCTCAACCGTGGGTGCATTTGAATGTATGCTGTGTCCATGGTTGTCTCACAGACACCAGCTTTCGTTGCAACAAGCACAACGGAGCGGGTCGTAATTGCCCTTGAAAGGGTTCCCTACACCCTCCCCCCTGGTTGGCCGCGCCTCAAAGCAGTAGATTGTAGTAGTTGTTTGAAAGGGAAATCTGCCCCCACCCTGCTTGACGGCTTTTTTGGAGGGGACACTTGGAAAATTTTTGGAAAATGGGTGGAAAATTGGGTGATTTTGGCGAGGTGTAGGTATTGAGGTAGGTTGTGAAGCACTGACCATGAGACATGTCACTCATCCCGATGCCCCTCAGGTCTCCAACCCTCCCTCTCCCCCGAACCGGTTGACATAAAGTCTTGGGAAACACATTGTGAAGGCAGGAGCGGAACACACAACGCCATGCTGTGCCCTTAATA